AGTGTTTGAGTTTGTGCTAGTGTGAGATGTTGGTGCCATTATGAGAAGTTTATTAGTCCTCTTATTAACTATAAAATATTTTCATATTGCAAAATACAAATAAACCTCTTATTTTTGTCAGGTTTGTTTCAAAATCATCACTACCACTACTTACCATAAACTGTTTATGATAGAACATTATCATCCTGAAAGTTGAAACTGCTTTAACTAATTTTACAATTAGCTTGTACTGTTGCAGGCTGTCTTTATAAAGATAACTGTGGACACTGAGGTCCTCTTTTTCAAGTAAATGCAGTGTATGCATTAAAAATAGTTGTATTAAATTTATATTTAATGTGAAATTAAGTTTAAAATGTTAAAAATTATCCCCAAAAGTAGACGTATTTATTTTTTGTTTATTTAGATAGATGGGTCTTGTCCTCACTGTCCTGGCCTCGCAGCCCACCTGGAACTGGAATCACAGATGACCAACCGGTTGGCTCCATGGAGGTTCAGGGGACTGAACTCATGTCTCGGACATTGTAGAACAGTGAGGGCTTTAAGTACTGGTAGTCCCTCTGAATTTAGTGACCTGAGGGCTGATGAACAGTAACTCAAATCTGTCACGACAGGTTGTGTTGAGTCACTCTGTCCCTATGGCCGTTTAGATTGCTTAATAAAAGAACAGGGCTGTCAAATATCAGGGGCTTGAGTTTGCTGAATAAATGAGTGGCTAGGGAGCCACCGCCACTGGTAGTCACTAGATGGTTAATGATAAAGGAATTTGAGCAGCTGATAGTTTATCTATAAAAAGCAGCCATAATATTTATCAAGTAAGAGTTTTTCTACAAGTTTTTTAACTGTTTAGCGTTTAAAGGTTAAAAACAAATAGAAAGAATTCTGGAGATGAAGTGACATTATGAGTGATTTTTGCTCATTAAAGGGCTCCATTTTACTAAAACATCATATTGTTGAGTAAGTACTGTCTATTCTCTTAAAGTAGAATGAATTTATGGGGCTGGAGAGATGGCTTAGTGGTTAAGAGCATTGACGGTTCTTCCAGAGATCCCGAGTTCAATTCCCAGCATCCATATGGTGGCTCACAACCATCTATAATGAGATCTGGTGCCCTCTTCTGGCCTGCAGGCATGCATGCAGGTGGAACACTGTATACATAATAAATAAATAAATCTTTAAAAAAAACCTACAACGCAGTTACTTTAAAAAAAAAAAGAATGAATTTATGGCTTTAAGTGGATATCTATAATGTTTTTCTCTTCTTTTGATAGGCATTTGGGGTCACAACTTTGTGAATTAGAAAAGCTGATTGATAAAATGATGATTGCAGAATTTTCTACTTACTCTCGTAGTGACTTAAATAGACCACTGGACGGTGACTGTCAAGTTTTAGAAGAGGTATGTGTTTGAATTGTGCAGTCCAGTTATTGTCTTTGCTAGTATCGCTTCCTTCACAGCTTCAGTTTATAACATGTTCTTCTCGGATCACAGTGAGCAAAATTACCTCAGATTTCGATGTCTGTCAGACTTGTGAGGCCCTGTGCAAGCCGTGTGTCTTTAATAAGCATCATAAATGCTAGTGTCCTGAGAAGTAGACAGTGGTGTAATGTCATGGCCTACTTAGAAAAAGGAGTTGAAGTGAGGTCTTTAAAACCAAGTTCCAAATAGAGATGTAAGATGAATGACTTAATTTATATTCCATGAGCAGGTGTTCACTGGGATTTATCATCTGTAAAAAGTGATGGTTATGTGATAATATGTTAATCATTCAAATTTACTGATGACCTCTTCTGAACATGTTTTATTTGTATGTGTATGTACATATACCCAGGCTGTACTGACCGGTAGTTTTGCAGTGCAGATCATTGCTAAGAACTACCAGGGAGAAAAGACTCTAAAGTCTCTGACTCATAATGACCCAAGAGGTGTGCATGTTAGCAGTGCATCCCACTCAGAGTCCAGATTCCATCCCAGTCTTCCGGGCCATAGGGACTCTTGACTGGTTATCAGTGTTGGTGGATAGTCTCTAACGGGCAATGAGGACAAAAGACCTAGTATTGTGTCATCCTTCAGCCACTTCATTTCGTCCATTGTGGTAGAAGAGGATTTACCTGTTGGAGAACACAGACCACAAAAATCTGATGGAAGATTGCTGTGGGAGTGGTGACGTCATCCTTCTGGAAGCACCACACTGTGTGCAGGCAGAATCTGAGGGTCTGACACAACCCTTTTGATACACGTTTCTACTTTTAAATTAAAATTCAAATGTAAAATTATATATCTTTCTTTTGTTTTAATAGGAAAGATTAGTATCTCTTGTATTTGGGCTTTTGAAACAAAGAAAACTTAATTTTTTAGAAATCTATGGTGAAGAAATGATTACTACAGCAAAGAACATCATTAAAGAGGTATTGTACATTTTTATTTGATATGTGATATGAAACCTGTGAAGTTCATTTTTATGTCACATAGTAATATATAAGATATGCAGTATAATAGTAATACTTGATCATTTTGTTTAAAATTGCATACATGGAAAAATAAGAGAAAAATAAGAGAAGCATAGCCTACAGCCAAGAACACTACTTGAAGAATATTTCTATTCATGGATGTGTTGGGTTTCTTATTGTGTACATATGACTTTTGTTTAGTACATACAACTGCATTGTTGTCTGAACACATGTTACTCATTTATTCTCCCCACTATAAGTGTATAAGGGTTAACTTCCTTTCACTCTGCTTAGAAAGTTAGTCATAACCTAAGATCTTTGAGACTTGGCCCCAGTGCTGGGAATTAAACCCAGGCTCTGTGTTGTGTGTGAGGCAAGGACTCTGCTGCAGAGCCGAGCCCCCAGGAATGAAACCCAGGCTCTGTGTTGTGTGTGAGGCAAGGACTCTGCTGCAGAGCCGAGCCCCCAGGAATGAAACCCAGGCTCTGTGTTGTGTGTTAGGCAAGGACTCTGCTGCAGAGCCGAGCCCCCAGGAATGAAACCCAGGCTCTGTGTTGTGTGTTAGGCAAGGACTCTGCTGCAGGGCCGAGCCCCCAGCTCCACCGTGTTGTTAGTTTCCCCGATCTTTGTTTTGACTTTTTTTTAAAACTTAGATAATTTTACATGTTTATTAGGTTTAATCACCATTAGGTTGAATGCATGTATATAAGTTTTCATTGTTTATATAAAATACACAAAGCCTGTAATTGCCTTTTTTTTTTTTTTTTTAACTTAACCTGGTTGAAACACTGTATTTCTAAATGGGTAATAACCATCTTGGAAAATTGTTGGCAGTATTTACTAATGCTAACTATATATGCATTATAACACAAAATTTCTGTTCTTAAGTATTCACCTAACAGAAATACTGAGGTAAATTCATTCAAACAACACAGTAGAATGTACATGGCAGTACCATTTGCCATTAGAGAAAAAGGAACATTCTAAATTGCGTTATCAGAAAATTCGGATAAACAGAATTGTGGTGTATATATACAATGAAATACTATATTGCAATGTGAGTGAATGAATTATTCATGGCTGCATAAATGAATAGTATAGACATCTGTAAAGCCAGACACAAAAAGTATACCCTGCAGGATTCTCTGCATGTATGATTCAGATACAGGCAAAATGAATCATACTTTAGAAATCTATTAGTAGCAACTTTTTGGCTCTGGAGTGATTGATAGTCACTTAAGAGCACTGGCTGCCTTTGCAGAGGATCAGGGTTTGTGAACACCCACCCTCGTGGTGGCCCACAGCTCTTAACTTCAGTTGCAGTGGTTCCAGCACCCTCTTCTGGCCTCTGCAGGCACTGCATGCATGTGACACAGACAAACATTTAGGAAAACACTAATACACATAAAATAAAAATAAATAAAACCTTAAAAGATAGTGACTTTTGAGAAGAGTAGTACTGGGCAAAGACTGGAATTCTAAGCACTTTAAATACTCACTTTCATTAAGTGAGTTGTAGTTCAACAGATAGTACTCTCTGTGTGGAAGTGTTACACTTTCTGTATAATTTGTGAGTTTTCTGGGAGTGTGTATTTATTTATTGTAGTGAGGTCTTAGTGTTTAATTCTTAGCATTATACGTACAAAAACATTGTAGTCAAGGAGTTCTTTTGTTTTATTTATTAAAAATAAAAAATTTTATGTGTACGAATGCTTTGCTTGCATGTATGTTTGTGTATTACACATGTCTGGTACCTGAGGAGGCTGGAAGAAAGCATTGGATCCTCTGGAACTGGTTATGAGCTATCAAGTGGGTGCTGGGAATCGAGTCTGAGTCCTCTGGAAGAGGAGCCAGTGCTTTTAACCACTGAGCCAACTCTACAGCATAGTTCTTTTACTTTTAATTCACACATATGTGTGTGAGCCTCTTTGGGTGCATGTGGAGTGATGGCCATGCATGTGTGTGTACACATGTGGGAGCCAGAGGACAGCCAACATCCACCTTGTGTTTTGAGGTAGCTTCGTACTAAACCTGGAGCTTGCCCAACAGGCTGGGCTGGCCGGCCAGTGAGCCCCAGGGCTCTGTCTGTCTCTGGCTCCCCACCAGTTTAATTACAGGGTGTGCAAAACCACCTGGCTTTTTAACATGACTTCTGGGAATTAGACTCAGGTCCTCACATTTGACTGAGCTACCCCCAACCCCCAGCCCCAGGGTGTTCTTTTTAAGGTACAGATGAAACATGAAGTAGTTGGAATTCTAAAAACAATTAACCAAACTGCCCTTTTTCTTAAATTACAGCGTGTGATTAATAAAGTCTCACAAATAGAAGAAATAGACACAGATGTTGTTGTGAAGTAAGTATGAACATGTATGTAGCTCTGTGTTTCTCAGTTAGGGGAACGATGGCACATTAGGATTAGAATTGGAGGAGGACTAAACTAAGCAGTTGTTGACAGGTTTGGGTCAGGGTGTAAAAAAGTTATACATGATAATGAAGTACCTTTAAGAGATAGGGAAATGACCACTTAACGAAATTCAGAGGCAAGCTAGTACTGTTGTCGAAGAAAAGCTGCAGCCGTGGATAGAGGAAGCAGTCACCATGAGGTGAACTGGAGGAGTAGGTAGAGTCGAGTCCACCCCTTCTCTCCAGGACCGCATTTAGGGCTCCGTGTGAAAGCCTGTGACCACAGACGGGAGGAGCCACAGGTATGCTGTGTTCTTCCTTCTGCACCCGCCTTCTCTCCTTGCTACACCGTGCAGGCGTTGGTCTCTCTCCAGATGTGTAAGCCCTGCTGCCTTCTTTAGGTCCTTGCTCTTGTGCTTTGGGCCTACTATTAAGTAAAATAAGGGATGCTTGAGGAAAAGCACTGATACTTCCACAGTTGATCTGTTAGCTGAGATGGTCACTCTGTGATCATGAGCAGGTAGCATACGCAACATGGATACATTGAAGGAAGGGAGGACTCTAATCCAAGGGGAGGAGGGGAGGAGCAGTTGTCATACTACTCACAGCAGGGATACATTGTTCTTTTGGGACATTTCCACTGAGTATTACCTGCTTTGAACGCGGGTAATATAACAAAAGCATAAAACCGTAGAACAAGAGCTGGCTGCTGTGTCTTTGCTTTCTCTAGTCAGATAAGGACTCGTTATTGGCCAAGCCTGCAGGTTGGCTTTTTAGGGTAGAGTTGGGTATAGAAGGGGAAGAGAGGGTTGATACAAAGTGGGAGGGATGGGGATAACTTCTTACAGTGGGGGAGCAAGTATTAAGTTTAAATCACTTAGCTCTACAGTCGAGCTTCTAGGGCTTTGAGGAGTTTGAGTATTTACTTTTCAATTGCCTGTGTCCATAATTTTTTGTTTTCATCTTGAAATTCCTATTCTTTTGAGAAGGATAGTGATAAATATTTTATGACTGAATTCTTCATATATTTAGGTATCTAAACCTTATCTGGCCAAAGATACAAACACTGATAGGATAGTTTTTAAGGTTCTCTGGGCCAAACCCCCAGAATGGAGATGTGGAGTGTTAGAATTCTCGAACGATTCCTTGGCACATCTGTTTCAGGATTGGCTGGAGCACCTGTTGTCAAGGAGGAGCTACTGGGAGACAGGGCATGGGCACTTTTAGAAAGCTCAGGAAAACAGGGACTTGTTTTCTTGCTCTTGTGCAGACTAGTTTTATATCAGCTTGATAGAAGCTAGAATCATTTGGGAGAAGGGCTCTCAGCTGAGAAGATGAGCCCATAATACTGGCCTGTAGGCAGGTCTATAGTCCATTTTCTTAACTAGTGATTAATGTGGAGGGCCCAGTCCTCTGTGGATGGGGTCACCCCTGGGCTGGTCAGGGTCCTTGGTGCTATAAGAAAGCCAACCGAGCAAACCACAGAGAACAAGCCCGTAAGCAGCACTCCTCCATGGCCTCTGCATCAGTTCCTGCCTCCAGCTTTTGCCCCGAGTTCCCCACCTGAGTTCTCTCAGCAATGCAGTGTGGCCTGAGAGTTGTCAGCTAAAATAAACTCTTCCCTGACTTGTTTGTGGTCATGGTTGTCTTTCAGAGCAGGGAAAACCCTAGCTACGACGCCGTAAGGAAGTTTTCAACTTATGTAGAGAGCTTCCTGGTAGCCAGTACAAGAATACTTTTTCTTTTTTCTTTCTTTGTTTTCTTTTTTTAAATAAACTCATAGCAGCATTCACTGGAAATCTAGAGTAATGAGTTACTTTTGTTATATATAAAATCTCTTCAGGGGAGTCTGTTTTGTTAACCTGTTTCATATTGGAAGTTATTAATTGATAGCAACTATCAAAGTAATATTGGCTGACATCATTTCTTAACTGTACCATATGTTGCTGATAGCATTTTCTATCAATGTCTTTAATGTTTATAATTGTATAAGATGAATACTTTCTCTCATGTTAAAATGGAAAAACAAACAAACAAACCTGAAACAGGGAAGGCTTAGCACTTGGCAGAGTTCTGCAGCCAACAAGTGCATTAAACAGCGGGGGTTTCGAGCTCATTCGGTACTTCCCCAGTCCATGCCATCAGGTGTCCTACTTCTCGTTGGTGGAAAAGTGGATTATTAAATCTGTCGAGGGAAATGTTATACTTCTGTCATTATTCCACAAAAGATCCTTACTTTTAGCTAATGTCAGTCTATGGTTTATTTCTTCAGAGGTCACAAAACATTCTCACATGGGATTGCAGTATGATAAGGACAATTTGCCCATGTACTTGATTGTACTAGTCAGAAGGGTGTGTAAACAGGTAGAGTTTGGTAATTGACCTCTTTAGCTCAGCAATCTATGATTTTAATTAGGACTCTAAATAAATGGCACTTTATTTTTATGTAACATTTAGTATCCTTCCCTTCATCTGATAGATGTTAGCATATTGGTCCAGAGACAGTTATTTTTGTTTAAATTTTTTTTTTATAGGCTTGCAGATCAAATGAGAATGTTGAATTTCCCCCAGTGGATTGACCTGTTAAAGGATATTTTCTCTAAGTTTACAGTTTTCCTACAGAGGGTTAAGGTAAGCTCACACATCGGTTGCCTGGACTATCCCTGATATTCAGTCAGCTTTCCGGACAGAATCATAGAACTGAAATGTACCAGGATGTAGGTCAGCCTTATGTACATAATGATGTCTTTAAGCCTTGGCTCTAGTTTCTTGCATTTCCCCTAGTCCGTCTGTGCTGATTGGACTTGCTCAGCCTAAACTGATTTTGGAGATTTGAACTTGGAGTCTGCTTCCTTAGAGTCATGTCTCTCCCCAACCCCCGACTCTCCCCACCCAAAAAAGAAATCAGATGCTTGAGAGAGGAAGCAATATATGAGATTTGCAACCATAAATGTCAAAGTCCCTTATATCTTTTTTTATAGATTAATTTATTTATTACATATACAGTATTCTGCCTGCATGTATGTCTGCATGCCAGAAGAGGGCGCCAGATCTCATTACAGGTGGTTATTAGTCACCGTGTGGTTGCTGGGAATTGAACTCAGGACCACTGGAAGAACAGTTAGTGCTCTTAACCTTTAAGCCATCTCTCCAACTCCACCCTTATATCTTAATAGTTCATAAAGATACTAATTTATATAAACTTTTTTATTTACCTAGCTTGCAGTGTTTTATTGAGTATTTCCTCCATATCAAGTACCATTGTTTAGAATAATATTGAGATGGATCTAACTTCAATATTATTGTAGTAGAAAGAGACCTAAATAAATAAAAGATAATTTTAGATGATAAACAAATGTTCTTAAACAAACAAGCAAAGCAAAACAAACAAACAAAAAAAAAAACCCACAACCAAACAGCCACCACTGTGTAGTGGGATAAAGCTGTTGTAGAGAGTCAGGATGGTCTCTTTGAGGAAGCTGCCATTTGTGCCAAAACCCAAGTGATGAGAAGGACAGTGTGCAAAGGTCCCAGTGAGGAGCACTCTGCAGAGGAGAAGGCATTGAGTGAGAACAATCTCGGAATGTTCAGACAGAGAGGAGCTGGCTGTCACAATGGTCAAGCAGTGAAGGATGCTGATGTAAGAGACGGTCAGGGCATGCTAAGGGACCTAAGTTAGCTTCTCTGAGAGACAGGTTATATCTGATACAGCATGTTAATGAAATACATAGTGTGTTGTAGGGAAATTTCCATAAAAAATGAGTTAGAATATAAGTACTCTGATCTCTAAGCTGTAGTGAACCTACTTCTCCTATACAGTTGGTCTTTACAAGTCACTGTTAGTGTGCAATACAAGGCTGATAAAATTTGTGACATTTGTTATAGGACTTTGATTCATTCATGAGTGTAGATGTTCAGAATTGTGTCCACATAATTAACTCCTGTAAATCTTAAGTTCATGACATTTAAATGCATTTTTCTAAAATGTGTCCTATTTTTTCTTTTTGTAGGCAACATTGAATATCATTCACAGTGTTGTTCTCTCAGTTCTTGACAAAAACCAAAGGACTAGAGAGCTGGAGGAGATTTCACAGCAGAGGAGTGCTGTCAAGGACACTTCCTTGGACACGGAGGTGGCTTATCTGACCCACGAAGGCTTGTTCATAAGTGATGCTTTCGGGGAGGGGGAGCTGACCCCTGCAGCAGTTGATACTACCTCTCAAAGAAACACATCTCCAAACAGCGAGCCCTGCAGCAGTGACTCGGTATCGGAACCAGAATGTACTGATTCTTCATCCAGCAAGGAGCAGACACCAGCATCTGCTGCCCCAGGAGGCCTCGATAGTGTGTGAGTAGAGCGGCCTTGTGAGGGTGGTGACTCAACCATTCTGTTAATGGTTTCAGAAAGATTGAGAATTCAGTTCAGTTTGGAAAAATGTAACCTTTTGCCTTGGAATGTAACAAACTATATTAATTTATGAAACATTACTTCATTTTGAAAATGTGTGGAAGGTCTGGAGGTGAGCCTTGGAGGTAGTGGTGACATTGCAGATGTTAGGACTGGTGAGGAACTTGAATTATTTAATGAGACGTCCTTATTTCAGTGCTAGGGTAATTGATTCCCAGGAAGCCTAGGAGATTTATGGAAAGGAAACACAACTGTTCCTGGAACCCATGTCCTATACTGCTCTAGTAGTTTTTCTCTGCTCTCTGCCTCTCTGTTCTGCTGCTTTCTTATTTTATATTAGTAAAGATGTGTTTGACTTACACATTTGATTTTTTTAAAGGCAGGAATTTCCTAGTGGATGACATTGTCTTTTAAAACATCATTTAGAAAAATGTGTTTTGAAATTATTTCAGGTTTACAGAAAATTTGCTATAATAGTATGAACACTGACGTACGTATCCTTCATCTGAAGTCCCTAGTTCTGAATCGTTTACCACACAGTGAACTATACTCTCTCCCTCTCTTTTTCCTTCTTCTCCTTCCCCTTTTTCTTTGTGTCTTCAATCAGACATAATGCCTCTTTACCTCAGATACCAGAGTGTGTAGTTGCTAAACCAGAACATTCTTTTATATAATCCAATTACTGTAACAGTAAACGGATAAAGTTAAATGGATAAGTTTTTCCCATCTAATCTGTAGACCAGTCTTAGGTTTATCAGGTATCCCTGTAATACCTGGTATCTAAAAATACAAAACAAAACCTATGAACGCTTTAATTGTTAAGAATAACAAGACTTAGTACTGTAGTTAACACATAAATCAACCTGTAGTCCAGAGCTCATGTTTTACTTGAGGTCAGTTTATTACACTTTTCCTTCCTACAATAAATGAACTGCATTAGTAAATTGATATCTTTTTTTCTGTGTTCTAGTTAATATCTTTATACTTACTAGTTATGATTATTGCTATTAAAATCTATATTAAAATTCTGTATCTTGACTGGGCCTGGTGATACACACCTTTAATCCAGCACCTGGTGCGGGGGTGGCAGAGGCAGGTGAATCTCTGAATTTAAAGCCACCTGGTCGACATAGTAAGTTCCAGGCCAGCCAGAGATATAGTGAGACTCTGTCTCAAAAAAAAAAAAAAAAAAAAAATTCTGTATCTTAAATAATACACAGTTGATTTATTTATTGAAACATTTCAGAATTAGGAGATCTTTACCCGAGAGGGGAGCTCTCTACCCTCACTGTCGAGCCTCCATTTACATCCATTTGCTTTCTGCTCCAGCATTCAATAGCTCCTCGGCACCCTGGCGGTGACAGGAGGGCAGGCGGCTGGTACTCCTTACTCTGCGGTGCTTCAGACTTTTTAACTGGTGCACAGGGCATATGTGGGAAAATAGGCAAATTATAAATGTTCAGCTCAGATTGTTATTCCAAAATGGAAACATGGATCACCAGTTAGGTCAAGAAATGGAACAACATAAGCTCCCCAGAAAAATCTACTCATCCCTGCTCCTGCTCTAATCCATTGCCATCTTGAGGCAGCTCATTAAAACCATTAGTGATGTGTGTGTGTGTGTGTGTGTGTGTGTGTGTGTGTGTGTGTGTGTGTGTGTGTTTATTGCTGCTTTAGTTTTCAGCTATATATAGTAGAGCCACATTTTTGTGTTTATCTGATTTCTTTCAATATGTTTGTGGTATTTGCATATAGTGGGAGTTTATTTTTATTTGTATACAAACATTGTATTTTATGACAACATCAGAATGTAGAATTCATTCTACTATTAATAAGAATTGAGGTTATTTCCATTTTTAGTGATAATGACTGCCACACCTTTCATGATTCCTTGGATTGATACCTGGTCTTGTGCATAATAAACACAAAGTCTTGCCACTTAATTAAATCCTTAGCTCTTAAACTCTTGTTTGTATCTTTGATACACACATATGCTACAAATATGTGTTGGAAAAATATGTATGCAGATACACACACACACACACACACACACACACACACACACACACGCCACACATGCCAACACACAGTTACTGAATGTGATATCTTGGTGAGTACACAGCCAGAAAGCACAACCAGCACACGAGGGAAGGAGAATTTCTGTTGCCTGCAGTCGGGAGAGCAGTTCTCAAAATGACATTCTCCTAAAGCAGAAAGGAGGAGAAACTGACTGGAAAAGCCTGTAGATATTCATATGGGAAAGATACTTTGGGGCTGGCACATTTCTGAGCATATTCACTTTAATCTACACACTACTGGGCATGCTCAGTTACAGTTACAGTTGAAGAGGAAAAGCTGGTGGAAAGGCAGGCCCCTGGATACATCCAGCCAGTCTTGTCAAAGCAGGAGGGAGGAAGATTCTCTAGGTTTCCTTGGCCTGATGCCCAGGTGTACTGATCTAGAAGCCTGTCAGGAGGAGCGCCTGTCGTTCACATCTTCAGTCACTCCTTCACTCTCTCCGTTGGTTAGTCTTCTACATGTCGGCCGTTTTGGAGAACATGTCACAGGTGTAGTTGTTTAAATTTTTATTTTCCCTGTGATTGGTAGGAGAGCACTATGCTCGTCTGTTTCGTTAGCTTCTTCTGTCGAGTGCTTGGAAAAGGCTTTGCCCACTTTTCTACTAGTGTTTTTCTTTCCCTTTCTTTCTTAATGAGAGTTACTTGTGTAAGCATACATGTCTGCTATCCACCCATCCTGCAAATGTCAGTTCCACCTCGTGGATTGACTCCACTCTCTAGTTGAGGTCTTTTTGAACCAAAGGCTACTAACTGTAAAGCTGTCCCTTTCACAATTAGATTGATGGGTTCTCTAATTGATTTTGTGTATCGTGCAAGATTTTCTTCCTTTGTAGCTATCCTTTAGACCTCGCCCATTTATCTGAAATGCCATCTCCCTTACTGTTCTGTATATGGCAGGTCCCACTCCTGCCCTAAGTCAGACCCTCAGCTGGGTTAGTCGGTACTCTGCTGCCTCTGTGATAAAGCATGTGTCCCTGCAGTGGAAGAGTACTGGTCAGCATGAGGGAGGGCCTAGGTTCACTCTTTAGCTACTTCTTCTCTTCGAAGAATGTGGTCTAGAATTTGTACTTCTGACAGTGACTTACACACCGGAGGCTGGGATATTACGTGTGACTCTCTAGCTGTAAGAGAGCTTGAGAACTAGAGTCTTTAGCTGCTGGATATTTGCCCAGCTAAAGCTATTACCGTGGCAGAGGGAAGAACAAATATTGAAGGCCAGCTAGTAGCCTGCTGTGACGTTGGAAAGTCTTTTAAACAGTGTCTTTCCTATCGTCACTGTGGGTCACTTAATTTCTAGAGTCTTCCCTGGCTTTCCCTCCTTACATGTGACCATAGGATGAAATGGTGACTGCAGATGGCCCCGCCTGTGTTCAGCTTGTACACAGACGCCTCAGGGCTTTGCAGCTCAGCAAGGAAATGACTGGGAAGTTAAGAGCAATTAAACTTACAGATCATTTCCAATGAAAAATGACAGCTGATTAAACAGGATTTTAAAAGTTCACCTTTTTGTCATGAGGTCACTGCACTATTTAAAAACTTGTTTTTTATTTGCTATTTTCTGTCTCTGTTCTTGTTAGTCAGTAGCACATTGCCAAGAGGTCTAAATTCCCCAGTGATTCCATTACATGGCAAATTGTAGTAATCCTTCAGAAGATAAGACTTTATCTCAGTAGTAAATTTGAATCTTTAAGTTTAAGTGAGCATTTTTGTTGGAGTTGGTATTAGTACCAGACTGTTTATATAGAAATAATTGTTTTGAGTGTTGGAGTTGAGTTTATACCAGAACACTGGTCAGAAAGCTGGTTGTGGTGGTATGTTCTTGAACTCCCAGAGCTGGGGAGGCAGACATGTCAATCACTGGGGCTCCCTACAGCCAGCCTTGGCTGAGGAAGGAAACCAATGGTTGCTCTCTGGCTCCATTTGCATCCACCATATCTGTGTACTAACCCACCTCCCACAATTATGGAGCAAAGGAAGCTTAATGAATTAGAGACCAATTCTGGATTTTAGTCTTACTCTTGCAGCTATGGGTAGATAAACTACTGAGACTCAGTGTCCACCTGCCTCAGTATGAGGACTGAATGAGACTGTTCTGAGAGTGCTTTAATGCTATTAACCCTGCATTATCTGAAGGCATTAGTAAATAGGTGTAGTGGTATAATTTTGAGGAATAAATGATAACTTTCTTCAATATCTTAACCTAGCTAGAGTAATACATTGCTTCTAAGTACTATAAATTAGAGCCCGTTAGTCATGTCTCTGAAAAGTGTTTTTCAGACAGGAGAGTTGCAATGGCACAGGCACTTCACTCGGCTTAGGACGACACCAAAGTGAACTGTTGGCTGCTTAGACTTGGTGGCCGTTATAATGTGCATTTGTAGTTAAAAATAAGAAGAGTCTTACATTTCCCTTCAAAATATAAATACAGCTGTTTAATACAGCTTCCTTGAGGGCAGCAGTCTGCTTCTCTTTCCATTGCTTAGCACTTCAGTAAGTAAGTAAGTAAGCCACTAAGTAA